AGAGAAGAGAAGAGAAGAGAAGAGAAGAGAAGAGAAGAGAAGAGAAGAGAAGAGAAGAGAAGAGAAGAGAAGAGAAGAGAAGTTTTCTTCTCTATTTAGAGAAGATGTCTGGTGACATTCCTTGCTTCAGAGAGAGGCAGAATGCAAATATTTTCCCAAAAAGAAGCCCTGTTCTGCCTTACTCACAAAAGCTGCTGACTCATGGCCTAGTGAATCAGAGCTTTTTACAAATAACAGCAGAAAGAGCTACACCCATGTGATCCAGGTGGTTCCAAGGAAATCCTCTCTCTCCTGCCTCAAGAGGTTTCTCTTCTCCTGAAGCACAGTCAGCTCTCAGCCAGCTCTTCCAGCGAAGTAACCCCAAATCAGCTATTTGGCACATTTAAATACATAGTACATTAACATCCCTTATTTTTTCCCTTTTAACTCAAAAGCAAGCATGCCAAATGGACTAGAGATCAAGTTGACACATGAGATTTAATCCTTCCCTTCGACATATGGACGGATGTTGGACATGTCCTATGGCTCAACAGAATTCATTTTTCTACCCCGGACATTAATGGAACTTTTTAAAAATTTAATTACTTTGATTCCACAGAAGGAAAATACAAAATTGGATTGACGCTGGAAGGAATAATTCCCATGTGTTGCAGTCCCAATCTAGATCAAAATCCTTAGCCTTTCCTGGAGAAAAATAAGGGAGTGAGATCAGTGGTGGGATTCAAAAAAATTTACTACCGGTTCTGTGGAAGTGGCTTGGTGGGCATGGCAGGGGAAGGATCCTGTAAAATCTCCAGAGGTGGTATTTGCTGGTTCTCCGAACTACTCTCCAGAACTGGTCAGAACCTGCTGAATACCACCTCTAAGTGAGATCCATGGAATTGGCAGAAATGGCAAAACTGACTAATTGATGAAAGATAAAAGCCTATCTAGTTTTCTTTTCACTTGGAGACCACTTTTGGACTTCTTGCTTGAGAAAGATAAAAATGAAATTTTGATTTTAGGACTCAATTACTAGATTTGTTATTAGAAAAATGTCACATTTTTATATTCATATTATTAGACATATGTTCTTTATATTTTATGCTTATGTTTAAATTTAGAGCAAGAAATTTTTCATTGAATAATTTTAATTTTATCTTGATTGTTTTATATATATATATATATATATATATATATATATATATATATATATATAT